CTAGAATACTTGTATATTTTTTGTAAAGTGGATATTTCATGTTTTCGAGCTCTTGTCTTCAGTTCATCATTTTAAAAAAAGATTATCATTCTCCTGAGATAAATAATCCTTGTAGTCAATTGTTTGAGCATGCTGCTTAGACGTGTGCTTTGATCTAGTGTAGTGATCTTTTATTGTGTTCATTACTTCACATGTAAGTACTATCAGTCAGCTAAGTCACAACCTGAATTCCGTCTGTGTTTTGTTACAATTTAGAACTATTCTAGTGATTAGTCATGGGTGTGGCCACAATACTGTATTTAGTATGTTAATTTATTTATTTTAATGATCACATTTAGTTTATAGTCGAGTGCAGACTAATTTCCATCCTGCTTGTAGTTGTTCATCTGATCGACTTTCATTGTGGCTCTTAGAGAGATTTAACAGATTTTGCTTCAAAATTACTCGTTGATTTCAATGATACATCTCTACATCAGAATGAGTTTTTAAACTGCCATATTTGGTGTGTGTTTTTTTTTTAAATCCTTAATTGGATTAGGGGTCAATTTTCATAAAGACGTTGATAATTCTATAATAACAGTAAACATATTTTCCACACACACACAAAAACACACACCAACTAGTTTAATGTGACTGCTTCATACTATTAAAATATCTACCTGATGAGGTATTTGCCAGAAGACAAAATATCCAGAAATTTCTATAATTAAAGTCGATCTTTTTTTGTTGCTACTTTTAGTGCCTAATCCCTCAGTGTTATATTGTTGGTGCATGTTATTTTATTATTTGTGTGTAACATTTGGTGTTGCTTATTTTTTTTTTTTTTTTTACCTCAAACCAAGTGAGGACAGGCACTGAGGATTGATGATTGGTATCTTGCTCTCCAGTAAGTAGTGGTGCTCCTTCACTCCACAGTTACTTAAGTGTCTAGCTGCAAAATTATATAACATGGCAGTGATTATTTATCTGAATGTTTGTGCACTTGCCACCAAATCTGCAATCATTTCAAACAATTAGTGTAGTGATAATGTAGGTAATCCAGTTTGGTAACACAAAGGCTACAAGTATTCCACATACAGTTGGTAACTAAAGTCAGGGTTTATGTGTCGGATCTGTCTGTATTGTGACTAGAGCATGTCATTTCAGTCACCAACCAACCAGCAGCATGTCGTATGTTGTTTGCATGTGATCCCACCCCATTGTCCATTCTGTCGTCAAATGAAACTACAGCACATAATAAAGAACATGCATGTGTTATCTGTACCTGGTTGTGTATGAACAAGGAATTATTTCATAGACAAGTTTGGTTTCATGTAAAACAAACAAAAACAAAAAATAATCACCTATACAGTCATAACAAGCAATTCACTTAAGGAGGATTCTCAGAGCTTTTCTATTCAACTTTAGACTGCATGAAGATAAATAATAGACATAAATTAGGAAAATAGCCACTCATTTGAACTTGATATGGAAACAGCCATTGTGTTTATTCAATATTGTGCACTCCCACTGTTGTTATCATAATTATCATCATATAAATCCTAATAATAAAAATTATTCTCTGCGTTCTTGACTTAACCTACTACTTCCACCCGACATTCTGTTCAGATAGTGCCAGTCTTGAAACTTTATAAACTGTAATCATACAATGTGTGTCTAAAAAATAGAATACATTGAACATCAACATGCAGAAGATACAACATGAAAATAAATATGAATAAAACAAGTAATGCAGATCAGTAGAATTCCTAGTCCACTGAATAGAGGGTTAAATGGTTCTTGTCTGAAGCAAGTTAAATAATTTAAATATCTAGGAGTATATGCTTTGAGGACAGAAGAATAAACCAGTAAATAGAAACAAGATGCCAACGAGTCAGTGCACTTATATACCAACTGACACGATCATTAAGACACCCAAGCATAAGAATGAGCTCTTAGAAATATAAACAGCATATCCATACCAACTCTGTGCTACCAGTGTCAGGCTTAGATATTTTGAAGGCTAACATACCTAACATAAACTCATGTGAAATTTTTTGAAAAGCTGCCAGCTTGACCGTCTGAGACAAAGTTAGAAATGATATGATCAGACAGACTGTAAGAACAACACCATGCAGCAAATTCATTGAGAAACAAGATCAGATGGTTTGGTCATTTAGTAAGAATACAACCAGAACAATTACCAATTTCAGGCGTTACACATGAAAAGATCTAAAGTGAAAGCAAGAGGCTGCCCTAGGAGAACGTGGATTGATGACATTAAAGAGCTTCCACATCGACCATCAAGCAATGGATTGAAAACTATTTCTCCCCCAACGCAAAGGTGGAAATTGATAATGATGATGTTGAACAGAACAAAAGCAACATACACTGGGAGGCTCAACAGATCTCAAATCATCCAGCAGGAGGGCCAATGAATGGCTCTCTTCTGAGACCAGTAAACAAAGTAACTTTGAGACTCAACAGATCTCAAATCATCCAGCAGGAGGGCCAATGAATGGCTCTCTTCTGAGACCAGTAAACAAAGTAACTTTGAGACTCAACAGATCTCAAATCATCCAGCAGGAGGGCCAATGAATGGCTCTCTTCTGAGACCAGTAAACAAAGTAACTTTGAGACTCAACAGATCTCAAATCATCCAGCAGGAGGGCCAATGAATGGCTCTCTTCTGAGACCAGTAAACAAAGTAACTTTGAGACTCACTTACTGAGGAGAAAGTTGCACTTCATCTTGTGATCAAACAAGAGAAGAAAAAATCCAAACAAGGGCACAATGATCGTGCATGTTTTAAATCCAAACAATGCAACCTATACACAGATGTAATTTCATATTTAGACTACATCCAGGTCAGAGTTTTTAGAATGAGAAGAGAGCGGAAGCATCTTTTGACATTGAAAAATTACTATGAATATGCAAGTAAGTTTTCTATAACGTATAAAATAGATTGAGGGCTACAGTAGCTCCTACAGCGCACTTTGTTGAAGATGGCTGGAGTAGTTTCCCCTTTACTTGTGAATGTGAATTGGACGGCTTACTGTATCACAGATTTAGCTGATGAAGCTTGAACCCGTACAGAAGGAAGCCGTGCAAGTGGATCTGTGCTGTACAAGTGATACCCCAGCAGTATGTATATGGTATATACCTGCACTGCTGACTGGTGACTCAGGAGACTGCATCTAAGGGTATACCTTAGAGTAACCAGAGCCAAGAAACGCTTCCTGCAGGACACCCTAGACATAGCTAAGTGTCACAGACTGAAAAGAGGAAAGTCTTGGTTATCACAGGCTAAAAACAATTATACGTGTGAATGCCTTAAAAAACTAGGCTAAGAGGGGTGTAAGCCAGAGTATATGGGCAGCGGTGAAACTTGTATACGTTTTTGTATGCACACACATGCTGTGATTGTAACAGACTTAAGCATGATGAGAAAGTTGTAGACAGGTATGCTCCATGCAGAGTGGCAAGCAATACTTCAAAGGTCAGTTAGCACTCTTTGGATATTTTCTGAAGCAGATGGAAATGTGTTGGGAAATGAATGGGTAGATAGATTGGCTGGTTCTGCACCACTTGCTGTTTTGCTGTTTTGCAGTTCTTGCTTTAGCAAGTCTTTTATCTTTTTCATTTCTTATAAGGTTCCTTATATAGGAAATCTGGTGCAGTATTTGTGCATGCTCAGCTTGCAAGACAGGTTTCGTCTCTGCCTTCATATGAAGTGTTTCCGTATCTCAGGGACATTATTGCAAACCACTACATCATATGGTTTTGTTCTACAAAGTCGAACTACTTATTGCTGTAGCAATTTGGTGGTAATTTTTACTACAATTCTCTGTCATTAGCTGGAGCAGCTTTCACTAGAGGAGTACTTAATTTAAAGGAGATTGAATATAATATTCATATCTTGCAAATATGAATCTCCTGAATATACTTGGCTTGTCAGTGAATCTGAATCTCCTGAATATACTTGGCTTGTCAGTGATTCTGAATCTCCTGAATATACTTGGCTTGTCAATGAATCTGAATCTCCTGAATATACTTGGCTTGTCAGTGAATCTGAATCTCCTGAGTATACTTGGCTTGTCAGTGAATCTGAATCTCCTGAATATACTTGGCTTGTCAGTGAATCTGAATCTCCTGAATATACTTGGCTTGTCAATGAATCTGAATCTCCTGAATATACTTGGCTTGTCAATGAATCTGAATCTCCTGAATATACTTGGCTGGTCAATGAATCTGAATCTCCTGAGTATACTTGGCTTGTCAATGAATCTGAATCTCCTGAATATACTTGGCTTGTCAATGAATCTGAATCTTTTGAGTATTCTTGGCTTGTCAATGAGTCTGAATCTCCTGAGTATACTTGGCTTGTCAATGAATCTGAATCTCCTGAATATACTTGGCTTGTCAATGAATCTGAATCTCCTGAATATACTTGGCTGGTCAATGAATCTGAATCTCCTGAGTATACTTGGCTTGTCAATGAATCTGAATCTCCTGAATATACTTGGCTTGTCAATGAATCTGAATCTTTTGAGTATACTTGGCTTGTCAGTGAATCTGAATCTCCTGAGTATACTTGGCTTGTCAATGAATCTGAATCTTCTGAATATACTTGGCTTGTCAATGAATCTGAATCTCCTGAGTATACTTAGCTTGTCAATGAATCTGAATCTCCTGAATATACTTGGATTGTCAATGAATCTGAATCTCCCGATTATATATGGCTTGTCAATGAGTCTGAATCTTCTGAATATACTTGGCTTGTCATTGAATCTGAATCTCCTGAGTATACTTGGCTTGTCAATGAATCTGAATCTCCTGAGTATACTTGGCTTGTCAAAGAGTCTGAATCTTCTGTGTATATTTGCCTTGTCAATGAATCTGAATCTCCTGATTATATATGGCTTGTCAATGAGCCTGAATCTTCTGAATATACTTGGCTTGTCAATGAATCTGAATCTCCTGAGGATACTTGGCTTGTCAAAGAGTCTGAATCTTCTGAGTATACTTGGCTTGTCAATGAATCTGAATCTCCTGATTATATATGGCTTGTCAATGAGTCTGAATCTTCTGAATATACTTGGCTTGTCAATGAATCTGAATCTCCTGAGTATACTTGGCTTGTCAAAGAGTCTGAATCTTCTGAGTATACTTGGCTTGTCAATGAATCTGAATCTTTTGAGTATACTTGGCTTGTCAATGAATCTGAATCTCCTGAGTATACTTGGCTTGTCAGTGAATCTGAATCTCCTGAGTATACTTGGGTTGTCAATGAGTCTGAATCTCCTGAGTATACTTGGCTTGTCAATGAATCTGAATCTTTTGAGTATACTTGGCTTGTCAATGAGTCTGAATCTCCTGAGTATACTTGGCTTGTCAGTGAATCTGAATCTCCTGAATATACTTGGCTTGTCAATGAATCTGAATCTCCTGAATATACTTGGCTTGTCAATGAATCTGAATCTCCTGAATATACTTGGCTGGTCAATGAATCTGAATCTCCTGAGTATACTTGGCTTGTCAATAAATCTGAATCTCCTGAATATACTTGGCTTGTCAATGAATCTGAATCTTTTGAGTATTCTTGGCTTGTCAATGAGTCTGAATCTCCTGAGTATACTTGGCTTGTCATTGAATCTGAATCTCCTGAGTATACTTGGCTTGTCAATGAATCTGAATCTTCTGAATATACTTGGCTTGTCAATGAATCTGAATCTCCTGAGTATACTTAGCTTGTCAATGAATCTGAATCTCCTGAATTTACTTGGCTTGTCAATGAATCTGAATCTCCTGATTATATATGGCTTGTCAATGAGTCTGAATCTTCTGAATATACTTGGCTTTTCATTGAATTTAAATTTCCTGAGTATACTTGGCTTGTCAATTAATCTGAATCTCCTGAGTATACTTGGCTTGTCAATGAATCTGAATCTTTTGAGTATACTTGGCTTGTCAATGAATCTGAATCTCCTGAGTATACTTGGCTTGTCAGTGAATCTGAATCTCCTGAGTATACTTGGGTTGTCAATGAGTCTGAATCTCCTGAATATACTTGGCTTGTCAGTGAATCTGAATCTCCTGAGTATACTTGGCTTGTCAATGAATCTAAATCTCCTGAGTATACTTGGCTTGTCAATGAATCTGAATCTCCTGAGTATACTTGGCTTGTCAATGAATCTGAATCTCTTGAGTATACTTGGCTTGTCAATTAATCTGAATCTCCTGAATATACTTGGCTTGTCAGTGAATCTGAATCTCCTGAGTATACTTGGCTTGTCAATGAATCTGAATCTTTTGAGTATACTTGGCTTGTCAATGAATCTGAATCTCCTGTGTATACTTGGCTTGTCAATGAATCTGAATCTCCTGAGTATACTTGGCTTGTCAATGAATCTGAATCTCCTGAGTATACTTGGCTTGTCAATGAATCTGAATCTCCTGAGTATACTTGGCTTGTCAATGAATCTGAATCTCCTGAGTATACTTGGCTTGTCAATGAATCTGAATCTCCTGAGTATACTTGGCTTGTCAATGAATCTGAATCTTTTGAGTATACTTGGCTTGTCAATGAATCTGAATCTCCTGTGTATACTTGGCTTGCCAGTGCCGAGTAGCTGTTTATGGTGTCCAAAGCAGGCGTCTTTGTTATTGTCAGGAGTGAATATTTATTGACCAACTATATTTGTTGGGAACTGAAGGCTTTCCTAGGTGTGTCATGGGTACATTTTGAGGCTGTTTATCTTATATTGGCGATGTTGTTTATCACTTTATTCTTTAGCCAAAGTCATGAGAAACTACTTGTCTGTGATTATCCTTTTCCTGAAAGCTTGGTATGTGAACTTATTTAAGAAAATGGTTGTTTTCCATTCTTTGATATCCCTGCAGCCTGATTTTCTAAATCTGAATTTAGCTGTTATGGGTGGAAGTTCTTCTTCTTCTTTGCGTTCACCAGCTGTACATTCTGGAGTAAAGTTCTGGTTGTTCGTCCACTTCTGGACTGCAGTCCTGTTCCAGAACCTGAGTGTTGCATGTGCATCAGTTTTACAGATCTGATTCTCTTAAATGCAGACTGCTGGTTCCTTGCGTCTCAGGCAGATGCACTCCGACTTCAAAGGAAGCTCCCCAGTTAGTCGACTCTTACGACATGCTTTTGGGGAGGCAGTGGGTCTATTCTTGTTTTCCCCACAATAGGGCCCCGGAACCCACACAGGGGGGGTGGAAGTTAGGTGAGTCTAATGTGTGTTATTTTACCATGCCATAGTTTATCAGTTTACTGTAGGCATCATGAATGGTAGCAATTGAGTATTTTCTCTTATCTCTTTGAGGTGTATCCATTAGTAATCAACTGTCCATTTATTGTGAGCCAGATAAACAAATCTCTGTCTTGTAGTTTAAAATGACTGAACAGTGGAACTATTCGACCATGGAATTCATTCATGCTTTTACTTAGTGCTTGTTGGGTAACAAATATCATTTCAGAATTCCTATTTGTAATATCTTTCTGTGTCAACTGAGGTGAGGAAGACAGTTTTTAATAGCTTTATGGAGCCAGTCATAGTGTACAGAAGGGAACTGTGGATAATCAGTCAGCCACTGAACAGTTATGTGGAAGCTGCTGGAATATGTTTACAACATTGCAGACAGATTCAAAGTTAATGAAAATATCTTGCATTTATGTTAATCCTATGTTCTCCACGTTTGACTTTATTCTGTGCTCAGAACTAGATATTCATCAAGAAAACTACAAATACTTGCAAGCATTCTTCTTACGACTCAGAAACACTGTCCATTCTGTTCACTGGGTCAGAAATCAGATACTAACTCATTTTGGATTTAAATATATGTTATAATGGGGCTGAAATTATTTATCAAAGGTGGAAGAAGAAAAAGACTGATATACTTGTTATATTACACTATGAATTATCAGTGACACTGTCTTAAATATCAGATTAAAACATTATGGATGAACATTGCACACCCATTCATTGTTTTATTTGTATACTTACTAAGTGAGGTTTTTTTTTAAATTGATAATACATATAGTCTGTAAAAAAAAAAAACATTTGTAAATCTTGGGATAAGTTTCCTAATTATACAAGGTATCTGTGACATATTTTTACAGCAGTGCTGTCTGTCTGCTATTTTTAGAAGTTTACTCATTGAACATTAAACCAATATTGGGACAGTTTATTTTAAATCACTTTTTACATATATGTCTCTGAGGAATAGTTAAATTCAAGGTAATATAATATTCAGTCAGAAAGCTATAAACATTAATGTCTCACAACCTTACCAAGAGTTAGATGATTAGATCTGTAGATGTGACTGATGTTGACATTAATTATTTTTTTGCTAAATTTTTGTTAAGTATTTACTATTTGGATATAGTGAAGACAAATGCTGCATTGCAATTAAAATACAATTTAAACAAACATAAACTATCACTTAAACTTATTTATGCAAAAATAACTACTGGAATAACCATTTTCAGATAAGAGATTTTCCCTCAAATGTCTGGGCTTGTTGCATACTCAGAAAAACTTTCATGGCTCACATTGGAGATTGCAGCGACTGTTTATTCAGATACATATGTGCACACACATTATAACTGAGTACTTGTTAGTGTCTCGTGGGCTGTCAGTTGTAAGACATTAATTGTAATAAATAAACAGTGTATTGATTGGAACTTATAGAAAGAAGTTGAAAGAGAAAATACTGTAGAACAGTAAAATTCCTGTTGCACAGCATGAGATTTATAGGATATTTTTTGTCAGTGATAAGGTTGGCGTTATGCCAGTTACCTTTAATTTCCAAAACATTCCCTGATACCCATTTTATCTTGGGTTGACCTGGGAGCGCGAATGGTCTGTAAAAATATGGGCGCTCTTCCCATATACCCAGTAAGCCTAAAAGGCGTGAAAAGGGATCTTTACTTTACTTGACCTGACATGGGAGCAATTTCAAGAAAATCCTTGATTAAGTATTAGTCAAAAAATAAAATAAAAAGTTGTACATAAGCAGTTTTCACAAAAACAACAAAAGCATTCTGTCTGCAAATCTCTTCTCTTTGCTCTAAAGTAAATCCCTTTGTTTTCTGTAATACATTCATAAGGTTAACTAACCGGTGCAACGGTGCAAGCCAAACTTTACAGGTCACTGATTGAATTTCATCTGACATTAAAGTTCATACTAGGTACACATTTTCAGATATTGTTAATGTATTTCAACCAAATGGAAGAAGAAGAAATGAGGTTAAACATCTGAAACCTGATCCTTACCTTTTTAATAGCCTGTGCCTGAAATCTCAGAACAGCTTATTTATTTCAGCCCAAACAGTGCACTGTATGTGACCACTTATTGTCTGTGTGTATCAAGCAACCTATGGTGTGTTTTATTCTTTACTTTTGGTCTGAGCACTCTTAAGAAACTTGCTAGATATTGTAAAGTACTGTATAGTAAATGTTTTACTGTTGCAAGCAGTACATGTATGCTTTCCTTGTGAAATTATATGGGACTGATGAAGAAGGCATTGATCTTCACACTAATAACAGCTGCTTCTGTCAGAACATTTATTTTTAAATTACATAACAACACTAGAATACATACTTTTATCCATTGCCTACCTCTGCACCACTTTCCTCCTTTTATTTTTTTGTGTCTTTTTCATCAGTATTTCCAAGTACTTGCTGTATTTGTTAGGAATGTAATCAATTAGATTGATAACATTGCTGGGCTAGCATTTTAGTATTTCATCCATTGCAGGCTAATCAAGTAAAACTACAAATTCAAAATAAAACTTCTCATTTACTTTGAATCAGTAAATGGATTCAGTTTATCTGTCCTGTTAGAGCATACTGTCTTTCTCAGATCTTGAAGCTCTGTAAAGCTATTTTACATTGAGGATTGTTCCATCTGATCATCAAAATTGTCTTAACTTGTATTTGGTACAGCATTGTAGCCGTAATATGTCACCGGAAGATCTGATTATTCTATTCCAGAGCTTTTGACCAATTTGTTGGTCTTTTCATTTCCTTGTAAACTACAATAGGATGAGATTCCCTGTAGAATAGTTCTGTATTAATATTTATGGGACCGGCACATATCTTTGTTTAAATCTGTCCAACATTGTTTAATCAGTTAAATAATTTTTTTTTAAACAAGAATTGTCAGAATTTTGTTAGCGTAGGACAAAGACAAGTTGGATCTCATACTGTACAGAGAAACAGTTTTCATTCCACAACACTTAACTCATGGATTCAAACAGTTAAAGACTGCAGCTTTACACGTAATGTGCTTTTTCAATGTCACTTTTTATTTTTACCTTGTTTATTTTCCTACAGGACAGCTTGTGTCTATCTGTTTGTCTGCTTTTATTGTTCTTTGAAATCTTCAAACCTGCAACTGACAATACAAATTGACTGACATTATTTAAACATATTTCAGTTCAGTTTCTTAGACATTTGAAAATCTTAGCAGTGATTAGAGCAGTTTTAGTACTGGGACTCCTGAAATAAGCCAGTCACAGACAAGGACTGTTATCTTTAGGGAATAACTAGACTGATTGCTGTCATTATGGTCACATACAGTGCCACCAGTAACATCTGCTGTTGGCAAAAGTCATTTTTTAAATGTATGTCATATATTCGTACACAGAGTTGCATATTAAAGGGCTGCTAGACTAAGAAGAAAGCATCCAGGGGCAGCACAGAAAGAAAGTTCTTAAAGTCTAAAGAGTGTCACTGATAGATAATCAGCTAGGGAAGTAAACACAGTACTTGGAGAAGTCACTATATTTTTCTTCAGATTACACATCAACTACAGAAATTATCAAAGACCTCATGTTAATACAATTCCAGAACTTTCAATGCTTTTAAATTCCCAAATTACTCACACACAAGAACAAAAAAAAAAAAAAAAAAAGCAGCAGGACCAGAACTAAAATAAGACCCCATTCTATTTAAATAAAGCTTTAGGGAAAAAACATTTTAGACATGTACAAGTTGAAAAAAAAGGGGGTTTAATTCCTGGATGTTAGTTTTTTTCTCAGGATACCGATGCCGATATCAGGTTGACAATGTGTGTATGTATGCTCCAGAATGTGGGGTAAAATCCACAATGCAAGCAGGAGAACTGGAGAGCTCTCAAGATTACCTGACAGCATTTCGATAGTTGTTAATGGATTAGGTCACATTAACGTTACCAAAGGAGGATTTAACAGGCAAGAAATTCCGGATTGACTTTCTGCATAGCCTGCTGAAGGTGGGTCACTCACTTTGGGTTGGGGAGTGCAGGGATTGGCCAGCTGGAACTGCATGCAGAATCAGAAGTTCAACAAATGATTCATGAAAATTCTCGCCCAAGTGATGTGATTATCTATACAGATGGCTCTGTGTTGAGGGGTAGACAAAGTGCATAGGGGTTTATAGCAAAGGTGAATAGACGATGCTTAGTGCAACAAAGCATGGCATATGATATCACAACGTCTAGCTTGAGAATGGAGGTGAAGGCAGTCACTGCTGGCTTGAGAATCAGCTGTACACACATGCCGTGATTGTCACTGACTCACAAAGCATGTTGAGAAAGATG